CCTGAGCTGGTTGTATGTCACCCGCCCTGGTGCTGGCAGGCAAGGGATTTCAGAGGATGGCAGCACCTGGTGCAGGCGGTGCTGCCACCCAGCAGCTATGGGGTGGCAGGTGCCAGAGTCCCCAGGAAGCCAAGAAAGGCCCAGACAGCCAGCTGCCACCTTACCCCAGAGGGTGGCCAGCCTTTGTGTGCACGAGTTGACAGAGAGGTAAAGAGAGAACCCCCAGAAGCCCCAGGGCTGGCGGGCAAAGCCCTCCACAATTTGACTCCGCCCACTTCTGGTACAATTTCAGCTAAGACTACACCTCTCTAATCACCCTTCTCTCCTCTGCCTGCTTTCCCCTCTAAACTTCCACTCACCTATGCCTGCCAGGTCCCTGTCCACCTATTTTTACCACAAGATTCAGCTCAAATTCTCCCTCCTCAGAGACAACACTCTAGATTTTCCTAGTAAGAAGCAATCACAATCCCTACCTTTTTTATACTCTGCCAGCATATTAATAAATGTAGTCTAGCTCGGCGGGTGTGGCTCAGTGGTTGTATGTTGACCTATGCACCAGGAGGTCACAGTTCAAATTCCGTCAGGGCACAGCCGAGGTTGCAGGCTGGATTCCCAGTAGGGGGCATGCAGGAGGCAGCTGATCAATGATTCTCTCTCATCATTGATATTTCTATCTCTCTTTCCTTCTCTCTTCCTTTCTGAAACCAATAAAAATTATATTAAAAAAGAAAAAGAAGAGTGGTTTTAACTTTGGGAATGTTTGAACAATGTCTTTCTGTTAAAAAGAAAAACAAAACAACAAAAAACCAAGCAACAGATCTGTGTGTACCTGGTATTTAGAAGTGTGAGAACTCTGACATCTAATCTCTTGACTTAGCATTTATCTTTGCTCATTAGTAAGTTAGGTCATCAAGAGAGCTGAAGAGTAGGTGTAGGTTGAGCTATAAAACCCAGACATATTGCCACATGCATCTCATTAGATTCATATATAGAAATGGAGGTGATGTAAGATGCCTTAAAAATTTAATTGCACCTCCCAGTGACAGCCTCGGTTCTCACAGGTCTGAATGAAGCCTACATTTTGTAGGCTTCCTGATTCACGGTTCAGCCAGTATGGATTCTTCTGTAAGCAGCACTACTTTATCCATTAGCCCCTTCCTCCACCCCTCTTCCTCCCCATTTTGGCTCTTTTACTAGGAACATGGTGTTTTTAACTCTTGAGCTATGCTATTTGGGCAAAGAAATACTGATCCCACAGAGCAGATGGTGTGGTCATTGGTGGGCTCAGTTTACAGTGGTTTCTAGTCCATTTTCCTTCCTGCTCCCACCTGGCTCTGCAGCGTCAGCCTTGCTCTCTCGTTCACTGCCTGTTTCCTTCGAAGTCATAGATGTGTGTTTTATTTTAAAAGTTCCCTGACTTACCTACTCTCAAGTTCTGGTGTGATTACCTACCCACTTGCATAATCTCGAGTGAATTACTCAAACTTGCTGTGCTTCAATTTCCTCATCTCTAAAATGGGATAATAATAGTATGTACCCCCAGTATTCATAGAAAGCATACATAAATTATACACGGAAAGCACTTAGAACAGTGGCAGGAGCATAGCAAATACTCAAATATGTTAGTGGACTTTGGTATTTTTATTTGTGAATATTATTTTGTAACTTCCTTTTAAAAAACACGCTGTGAATATTTTCTCATGCTATTTGTGACTAATACATGATTTTATTGCCATTCTATGACTGTGTCATAATTTATTTAATCAAGGTTCCATTGTCATTTTCAATGTTTTATACAATAATAAGTAAGCCTGTAGTAAACATTCTTGTGCATAAATTTCTGGGCGCATCTCTGATTATTTCCTAAGGCACATTACTAAAAGTAGAATGATGAATCAAAGAATATCAACCCTTTTTCAGGCTTTTGCCTAAATGCCTTCCAGATATGTCATGTGAATTTGTGCTCCCAAAGCATTAGACGGTTCATTTCCTCACAACCTTTCCAGCACCGGATATTATGGTTTCAAAACTTTCTTGCCAGGCTGTAGTTTTTATAGTCATATGGTGCCCCATAGTTTCCAAAGCTCTCTTCTTCTGAGATTTTCATAAAAAAAAAAAAAAAAAAATCTCAAGCCCCTTTTGAGTTACTTCTGTAATTTTAATCTACGAAGTTTATCATAAACTCTTGCCCTGTTACCTTTCCTAACCTTCCCTTCCTTATTTCTTCACGCCATTTCTCTTCTACCCGTTGGGAGTTAGACTGCAGTGTTCTGTTTGGGTCAGGTATGTGTTATAAACCTAGTAGATAAATACTAGAGGAAGACAGGCGCTTTCTTTTTTTCATTGAGCCCAACCTAACCAAAAATGAATCAGTCCACAAAAGACTCATCTCCTTGATAGTAATAGGAGACTTGTTGCCCAAAATATTTAAGCCAAATAGACAAGTGTCTGAAAGCTGTGGAAGAGGTACTTCTTTGGCAGTAAGTTGACCCACATATTAGTGTCCAACTAGGAAAACTGAAACCCCTGTAAATCTTTAAATGTAGAAGAAATTTAATTCTGGGGATTGATTACCCAGATGACTAAAAGCCAAAACGATGATGAGGTAACCCTGAGATTAGTAACATTAGGAAGCCAGCACCACCCTTAGCCTGAAGGACAGAGGGGAGCGCGTGGGTCACCTGGAGGAACTGGAGCCATAGGGGGCCTATCTGTTGGGAGCTGGACCACAGAGATGATGCAGTGCTTCTCCCCACCGCAGGTAGAGCGGGAGGGGAGAAACACCCTGGCTTTGCTCCTTCTCCAATCTCCTTCCAATGTCTTCCATTGGCAAATTCAGTTAGAAGCCAGTGGACCCAGCTGTCTGTAGAATTATATGTAGTCTGTGGTCAACCCGACCGTGCTGCAGAGCAGAGAACTGGGAGGGTGAAGAGCGGGTGTGAGCGCCAAGAGGCCGAGGCCTGCCACGGTGAGTGCTGGAGGCCCTTCCAAGTCCACGGATAATAGGGCCAAGTGCAAAGCATGCTTGCCCTGGAGAGGTAGGCAGTCCTGAGTATGAATAGTGGCTTTGTCCTGTACTAGCTCTGAAACGTTGGCCAACTTCATTAAATTGAAGTTAAGTTAAGGGAGGTGTGAGAGCTTCATTTACAAAAGCAGGGGACGAAGTGGGGGGGGGGGAGACAAGAAAAACTGTATCTCACGAGGCCTTTGTAAAGATTAAATAAAATAATTGCTAAAAAATAATATTAAGCATTCAACAACAATTCACTTCCTGTCATTCAAGAACTTATGATTGTAATGACATGGTGTCAGATGGGTACTATTGGGGTGATCATTTAGGTAGTTATATAAATGCCTTGTCCACCTGAAACTAATATAATATTGTACATCAACTGCATTTAAAAATTAAAAAAAAACATTTAAAAAATATATTTTATTGATTTTGTACAGAGAGGAAGGGAGAGAGATAGAGAGTTAGAAACATCGATGAGATAGAGTCATCGATCAGCTGTCTCTTGCACACCCCCACCAGGGATATGCCCGCAACCAAGGTACATGCCCTTGACCGGAATCGAACCCGGGACCCTTCAGTCCCCAAGCCTACGCTCTATCCATTGAGCCAAACCGGTCTCGGCTAAAAAAAAAAAAAAAAAAAAAAAAAAAAAAAAATTTTTAGAAAAGAAAAAAGGAAGAATTTTAAGACAAAGGACAATTGGGCATTTGGTCAAGGTCATTAAGGTTCTCTCTATATTGAAAGAAAGAAAAGGGGCAGAGGACCCTTTCCTTCCAGAAGTTCTGTCGAGGGTCAGGTAGGTGATATATTGCCCAACAGTGACACTGAGAGATGATCTAAGAGCATTGAAAGTATCACCCATGATCAATTTCTTCATTCCACAAACATTTATGGGTCCTCGCTATTTTCTGGAAGTGATTTAGACATGGTCCTCACATTCAAGGAGATGGCAACAGGTGGGCAAAGAGATAAATCAAAGTGCATGGCGGTGTAGGGATGTGTACCGAGGAGGGAGCAACGGGAAAGCTTTGCCTAAGGCAGCAGGAGAAGGCTTCAGTGAGGAGATGACGTTTGAGTTGTGTTTAGAAGGAGGAGCAGTTGTCCAGCTGTAAAAGCAAGGTACAAGGGGACAGTCACGAACGAGAGTGACTTGTTTGGGGGACGGGGAGCTGGTCACTTGGGTAGAGCCTTGAGAGGTCCACAGACAAGGTGGAGGTACGAACCAGTGGCAGACGTGGCTAAAATGGAGGAAAAAGTCAGCGTGTGAAGGGCTTGGTTTAAGAAGCTCATTAACGACTTAATTCTGTGGGGAACAAGAGGCCAGCAGAGACTTTGAAACCGTGGAGGAACGCATCATCTGTAACTTAGAATTTCTTAGTGTGACACATGTTCCCAGCCTCTCTCACCCATGCAGCAGCTACATAGAGCAGGGGCCATGTGTCCGCCTCGAAAGACATGAGAAAGCATGCATCAGGAGAAGGAGCACAGGGGCTTTTCCTTAAAATTAAACCCAGAGTGGAAAAGCGTCCTTAACTTATCCTGCAGAAGCTGAAGGGCTCAAGGCAAATATTCCCAATGTTCTGGCTCCCGTTTCTACGAAGCCGAGCACATCAGAGGGGCGAAGCTGCTGCCTGTGGTTCTGAGGCCGGATCTCATGGATTTGGGGGGAGTGTTGGCTGGCCTGGACCTGCCTGAATGCTGAAAAGGACTTGTGTTCCTCTGACGGAGAGGAAGACACAAAAGGATGAACATGTCATCCTTTATGCTTCTCCTTTCCCTTACATCCCCTCATGTAGGCCTCGTGACCGCTGTGTGTGAAGAGATGGAGGTTCGAGCCCAGCACAGAGGTGAAGAGATGGAGGCGGAGGGTTGCCTGCCTTCCCTGGGATCTGAGGAGGACTTAGACCCAAAGCTGCCAGTGGATTTCTAGCCATGCAGACCAGTGCCTTCCCGGACCCCCCCCTCCCCCCCACAGTGCTCTGCCTACCTGTCTCCTTTCCTGAGCCAGGATGGCTTCTCTGAGGTCCCGAAAGGGGTGCCACTTAGGACCCAGCCTTTTCCTGTGGCCTTTTCTCCTCTCTCCGGGCGTCCATGCTGACAGGGCTAAACCTTCTGAGTAGAGGATCAGGACACCCTTTCTGGTGCTGAAAGTTTTAGGGAGTGAGAGGCTCCATGTGTGCTGGGTGGGGTCGCCCTTCTCCTGCGGTTTGCAGACCAGGGCATAATCTTCTGGAGACTTCCAGTTCAAGTAATCCTGCAACAGAAAGAAACCACCTCGATCGATTCACTGTGGACAGCACATTAAAACAAATTTTCTTTTAATTATATTTTTATTGCTTCCAGAGAGGAAGAGAGAGGGAGAAGGAGAGGGAGGTAGAAACAGCAATAATGACAGAGAATCATTGATCGGCTGTCTCCTGCACACCCCCTGCTCGGGATGGAGCCTGCAACCCTGGGCAGGTGCCCCGACCGAGACTCGAACCGTGACCTCCTGGTTCATAGGTTGACGTTCAACCACTGAGTCACTCGGGCCGGGCTGGACAGCACTATGATAGCAAATTCTGCGCGTGCAAGGCGTGAGGCATGTTTTTAGGTGGCTGGTTTTCTCTGAGTTGATCACGTGGTGCACGAAACATAGTCACTCTTCTGAGCAGCTGGTTTCACATCTCAGAATCAGCAGGGCCCAGGGCACGGTCCTGTTTTACCCCACATAACCAACGTTCGGGAGGGCCACTGCTGCCTCGAGGCTTAACCAGGGTCCAGGGTAGGTTGCAGGCCGGTTAGTTCCCGGTATGCAAGTACGTTGTCAGCACTACCAAGGGCAGCAGACAACTTTGACATAAGACCTGGGCTCTCTGGCAGTTTAAAGAGGAGAACGCCATTCCACGCCATCACTCCCGCCGGACGCAGGGGGAATGTCTATGCATTCCAGATGCCGTGTAACTTTATCTAATTTGGCTACTTCGGAGCCTGTAAAGTAGTTACATGTCTTGTAAGAAAGTAAATGCCATTGTCCATAGACGTGCTTTGAAACTCTATTTGTCTTTCAATACAGCGAAGGTCAGACATCGTGACAAACTACCGTGACAATGGAAATCTCTGTGCGAGCCAAACGTTTTCAAAATACCTCCAGTGGATTTTTTTTTTTCTTTTCTTGGCAGAACTCAACGAAGTAAAATTGCAGCACAACAAGGGAATTCTGCCACCACTTTAAAATGAAAAAAAATTTTTTTTCTTTGGCCGGTATTAAATATGAGTCCTGTGGGTTTGAATTCCAGAAAGTTCAAGGAAGCCATTGAAATGACAAGAACACACACAGCCTTCCGACCACAGAGCACAACTCTGAAGACCAGCGTGCCTAGAACCCAGGTGGAGATTCTGGTCTTGAACCAAACCATCCGAATTCTAGACAATCTGGAATCTCCATCAGCCTAAAGCAAGCGAGGCTGGAGGTTGGTGTGCGGGAGGAAGCGAGGGGGTCCCCGGGGCAACCTCGGGGTGTCAGCAAAACCACCTTATTTTCTCAAGTTTCACCAAGCAGGGGAGATCTGCCACTGACCCCCACCACCACACCAACCCAAATATGCATGGCTCAGCTCCAGATGGAAAAAGAGAGCATTCCTCCCGCCCTCCCCCCCCGGCCCCACTCCCCCTCCAGTCCCCCCACTATGCCCTGATTCCGCTGTAAAACTCACCTCTGGTTCAAAATAGACTTCTACCTTCTGTTTGTTCTGGACCCACTTGCCATGTCCCCGGCTCAGGGGAGAGAGTGGGAGCATGTTTTCCCTCTGACCACCCTTCTCAAGGGCAGTTCATCTTGGGTTTGAAGGCTGAAAGCTGGTCACACCTCAAGGTTTCCCGAGCGCAGCAGGGAGCCCGAGAAGACCACAAACACTGGGCCTTTTATGAAGGGCATTTCCCCCTCATACAGCGGCTTCTTAGGAACAACCGGCCACACAGCTCAGACAGTGTGCGTCTTTGTCGGCAGAAAAAATAAATTGCAAACCCAAACTCCTCAAGCCCCGGATTGTCTGCTCTCTGGGCAACCGCTCCCTCCCCTCTGCCTGTGCCCTTGTTGTGCCTGGTCCGGTTGCTCTGTTACCTGCACACCTACAACACCATCCTTCTCTCTGCAGCGGAGGTTGTTTCCCGGTTGCTATGGCAGCGCAGGGAAATGCAAGTCCCTTAAACCAGCCCAGGCAAGGCGGAGACTGCCCAGGGCAGCGTCCACACACCGGGAGAGGGAGGGTCAAACGGGCACTGAAGGGGCCAGGCTCAGATTTCAAGTCCTGCTTGGGGGAGGGATGAGGGCACGCTGAGATCTTTTTCCTGTCACCACAGCGCTCACCTTGTTTCCAGAGTGTCTTCTTCCTTCTCTGGATGCGAGAGCCTTTCACTGTCAACCCACGTGCACGCATTCGAGGAGCTGCCAAGGTCACCGAAAGCGGCCTGCGAAGCTTTCCTTGGCTGAGCTCCAGCACCTCTTCCACGGCACACGAGGCCCTTTATGGTAGCTGCGGCTTTGCACGAGTGAGTGTGAGGCCCTGGGACTCTCCAGATAGCGTTGCATCCCTGCTTACCACCTAGGTGAAGGCCATCTCCAGAGAGGGGCTGCTTGGGAGGTACGGTTGAGGGCATTGGGTTGCCACAATGGCTGGAGGCCAATACTGGCATTGAGCAGGCAGGGGCCTGGGATGCTGAGGCTCTGTGGTGTGTGAGACTGTCCCACGTAATGAAGAGTCGTCCTACTGTGAATGCTGGTAGCATCCCTTGTGAGAGACACTGCTACGGCCTAGGCCGCTTGGCTCTCCTTGATGCTGACCCTGTGAGGACAGGAGGCGGGTGGGGGGCGGGAGAGTCAGGGAACAAAAAGTTGCCTTTGCTGTGATCTATGGCCCCGCTCTGGCCTGTCATCTGTCAGTGAACCTCCGTGGCAGCCTGTGGGAGTGTCCCCCGGGGGCCTGCACCAAGGAGTAAAAGAGGCCGCAGGCCCAGTTACCTTTCAGATCTCCCTCTGAGGCTCAGCCTTTCCCAGGAAGCAGGCTCCAGCCTCCTGAGGAAGAAAGGGAGGTCATGCTGGATAATTAGGTTGGCTTACCATAGGGAGTCAAGACAGTGAATGTAGAGGCTCAAAACTTTATTGTGGAATTTAGTCAAAATCACAATAAATACAATTTCAACATCCATTAGGATGGCTATTATGGAAACCAACCCCCCCCAACAACAACAACAAGAAAAACAAGACAAAACAAAACAAAAAAAACTCAAAAAACAAACAACAACAACAACAACAACAACAAAAAACCAAGAAAGAAAGAAAGAAAGAAAAAAGAAAAGAAAAAGAAAACACCCAAAAAGCCAACATCAGAAAAGAACAAGTGTTGCTGAGGACAGGGAGAAATCGGGACCCTTGTGCACTGTTGGTGGGAATGTAAAATGGTGTAACTGCCATGAAAAACAAATAGTATGGAAGTCCTCAAAAAGTTAAACAGCCTGGCTGGGTGGCTCAGTTGGTTGAGCATCATCCTGTGCACTCAAAGGTCGCTGGTTCCATTCCCAGTCGGGTTGGGGATTTGGTCTCTGGATAGGAGGCAACTGATCAACTGCTTCTCACATCAATGTTTCTCTGCCTCTCTCCCTGAAAAATCAATAAAAACACATTTTAAAAAATTAAACATAGAATTATTTATGAATCAGCAATTTCACTTCACAATTCCACTTCTAGATATATAATCCAAAAGCAGTGAAATCAGGGATATTAAGAGATATCTGAACACCCATGTTTAGAGCAGCATTCTTCACAATAGCCCAAATGTGAAAACAATCCAGGTATCCACAACAGATGAATGCATGAGTGAAATGCAATGTACACACACAATGGAAAATTATTATTATTTTATATTTTTTATTAATTTCAGAGGGAGCGAGAGAGATAGGAACATCAATGATGAGAAAGAATTATTGATCGAGTGCCTCCTGCATGCCCCACACTGAGGATCAAGCCTGCAACCTGGGCATATGCCTTTGACCAGTATCGAACCTGGGACCCTTCAGTGTGCAGGGCAATGCTCTATCCACTGAGCCAAACCGGTTAGGGCTAATGGGATGTTATTTAGTCTGGAAAACAATTTCTCCCAGTCTCTTCAGAGGAAATTCATTCTCTGAGACCACCTGATTTGGAAATGTGAATTCCCTCGTACATGGTGGACCTGGCCCCAGGAGGTGACCTTTCTGAGTCTAAGTTAAGTGAACATCTCACCTGGGACAAAACTCAGGTGCTTATCTCTCCCAAACACTGTGGCAAGGCTACCAGGCCTCTAGGGTAATATAATACATGAGCAGCCAGACCATAGCCCTTCGCGGGCCTCCCCTAAACGGACGTGTTTACATCCACACTGGTTAATATGGACAATGAACAGATGTACAGATCAATTAATAGACATTTAAAAGCATTTACTCAGTCCCCACAGCGGTTTATGGAAAGTGCATTTAGAAAGCAATCGAGATTATTGCTACTCTAAAGTGCTTGGGGATCCCAGATGAAAGGCCCTGTAGCTGGAAAGTATTTATAACGCCAGAAGAACCCCTCCACACCCATGTTATATAACACCACCCCCTCTCCTGGCATGCTCGACCTGTCAGCCGGCGCGGCCTGTCTGTTTAAATGGCACTGTAAATCCCACAGGGTGGAGACTTTGTTGTTATCCCTTGTAAAGCATCATGATAGCTATGGTGCTCCAAAGAAATAGGAACCACATGAAACAAAGGAAAGAGATGTTGCTCTGGCCATGCCCCCACTTCATGTTCAATGGCCACGTCATGGCACTGCAGCCAGGAATCAGTCCCTCGCTCCAAAGTGCTTGAGGTCAATGGATGCTCCTCTGGGGAAGTGGCTTATGGGATAGTGTCAGGATTCTCAGACCCTTTCATTATTTGTTTATTTATTTATTTTGTTAATCCTCACCTGAGGATATTTTTCCATTGGTTTTTAGGAGAGTAGAAGAGAAAGAGAGAGGGAAAGATAGAAACATCAGCTTGAGAGAAGCACATCGATTGGTTGCCACCTGCACGAGCCCTGTCCAGGGCCCAGGCCAGGGAGGAGCCTGCAACCAAGGTACATGCCCTTGACCAGAATCAGACCGAAGACTCTGATCCCCAGTCCAATGCTCTATCTACAGAGCCAAACTGGCTAGGGCTCTCGGCCTCTTTTAAAGGGCAGTGTGAACGTGTTTTCTAGGAATTGCATCCACCTGCAGGGAAGTCTACAAGAAGAGTCCTTGGTACCGTCCTTGGTACCCAAGAGGAACGATCAGTGCACGGAGAGGCATAAGGATGTGCACAAGCCCCTGAGCAAACCAGAGGTGGAACGGGAACTTGTCCAAATTTGGTCCGAATCCCAGCCTGCTGTTCATCCCACTTCTGCCACAGAGTAGTAGCATCCATTCGTAAGACACTGCATCCTGGTTAATACCCAGCAGTGAACAACTGCTGCGACTGAAGCCACCACAGCATCTCCTTCAGCCACGAAGCTGGTGACTGGATACTGGGTCTGTGTCTGGCTACTGGGCTGCTCCAAACAATCTCCCCAACCTTGCTTCTCCTCACTTTGCCTTGCAAATCTAGGTGCAAGGTGACCTAGGAAGGCACATTTTCAGCTTTCTAACCTACTGCACGGGAGGGAAGGTGGAATGAAGGCAGATAGAGCCGTCCATGGTTATCTACCATAAGCACCAAAGACAGACACGTTGTTTGAGAAAGTCAAAACGAAGAATTTTTAAAAATATGGGCGTGTATATGACAGTCGGCATTCCCTTCCATTATTAAGATGCTTTCCATTGGCTTGTGTTTTATACTCCCAACTAGACTGCAAGTCTCCGGAAGGTAAGGACTAGATCCTGTAAGTCTCAGCACGCTCCATAGCACGCCTTGCGTAACATTACAGCTGCATACAGACGTGTTGCTGTCTTTCTAACACGCCCAGAAAAATGTGTACTGATCTTGCAGCCAGTAAGTAAGACACATGAAAGAAGAGAGTTATGTCAAAGCCTGTTCTAGCAGCTGGTAGTTTGCTGATAGTACAAAGCGTAGAGCCACAGGTTAAAGACTCTGATTAATGAAAACTCGATTTTCAAAGACCGGAAGGGCACCGAGAGAATTAGCGTGGAAGAGGCAGCCTTCTGAACTCGATGGATGCTTCCAGACTCTCGGGGGACGAGTTACCCGGCTTGTTCAGAGACGAGGGCTCATTTCTCACGAGGCCAGGTCAGGTTTGAAAGAAAAGGCGAGCGGTGATAAAGAATACGCTGCAATCATAGCAAGTGTCCTGACGGTTCTCTGCTTCTTTCCTCTCCTCTGAGAATAAATGGTGACCTAATGGCCTGCCTCCATCAGGAGGGAGGGGACTGGAGGTCTATTTACTCTAGATCTTTCTGAAGCGTTTGCTTTGGGAGTCTAAACTATTTATTATGCTTTTGTGCTGGGCTTCATTTTTACTAGTGGAAGTGCTCACAATAACTGCGAGCTTTTAAATAAATCCATGGTGGGGAGACAGGACGAGTGGAGAAGAAACAAAAACCACACATTCTTGCTTCTTCTGTAAAATGAATCGCTAGAGTTCACCTTGTGAAGCCAGGAGCGGGTAACCTCCCTGCCTGTTATCTAACCCCGCTGTGCAGGAATGGGGCCCAGGAAGCCTGGACTTAGGATTGATGGGGGAGAAATGAGGGTGAGAGGGGAGTAAGGCAAGAGGGCCATATCCTTTGGGAGGCAATCCCTTTTCCAGAGGCCAGAAGACCAGCTAGAACTCTCCGCAGGTTGAGAGGCATCCATAGTGTTACCGCAGGCGTGAACAGATGTGAGCAGTGCCCTCGGAGGAGCCTCATGCTCCTGGCCAGCCCCCGCTCGCTTGTGCCCACCTCTGGTGCCAGCCCACTCTACAGCAGGAGGTCCGGGGGAGTGGTCCGTCCAACGGTACATTGCAAAAGGAGATGCTGATAGCAGGGCAGCTTTTCAGACTTCACGATAATCCTTCTCTTGACTCACTGTCTAGACGTAGTTCGGTGCACAAAGGGTTAACGGGCCTCACAGGACTCGGCTGCCAAGTACACTTAATGCTCAGCCCAGCACTCCCAGCTTGTATTCTGACGCTGCTGGAGTGGCCTGTTCATGGCATCTGGTTCCCTGGCAACAGCTTTCATTGGCTCAATCAAAGCCTTTTC